CTGAGCGGGCTCCATGCTTGCCGTGGTATGTCGTCTGCACGGGTAACCCAGGAAAAGAGGCGAGAAACGATTGTTTGCCGTTGCTTTCATGGAGGAAGGGGGGCCTGACGACATGTACCCAAAACCACTCGCCACAATTTTTTTGCCCCATCAGGCATTGGGAGCTCAACCCAGAATTCCAATGGACGGCGGAGACAGCAGGAACTGTGGGATAGCTACCCACAGTGCAACACTCCAAAAGTCGACGCTAGCCTCGGTACTGTGGACGCACTCTGCCGATTTAATGCACTTAGTGGGGACACACAATCGACTGTATAAAATCAATTTCTATAAAACTGACCTAATTTCGTAGTGTAGACCTACCCTAAATCATATCTAGTCCAATGGAACTCTTCAATCTATTTGCAGGTTAGTGAATATTGTACTTGTGAAAGATGCTGGATTGTCAGTCCTGGAGAGCAAGGTCCTCGTTCACAGAACAGCTACAGCAAAGGGGGCAGCTATGCAAGCTTCCCACACATTGCTCCCAATCGTGGCCCATTACTGGGTAACATGTGGGGGTGAGGAGGCAATTTCTCTCTACTCAATCCTTTACTACTTCACCAAGATTGCCCGCATGGGCTCAGTTGTATTGGTGTGTTTTGCATTATGGGCATCTGACCTGAAGCCATCGATTCATTTCCCACAGGTCACCATGCAGCCACCAGATAGTAATTCTCTCTCAAAAACAACATGAGTCAGTTTCAAACCAACAAACAATTGAGAAAACTAAGGCTTTGTATCAGATTATCAATCCCTTGAGCCACCCATTTCCATACTTTCCCTCATCTATTGCACTGACTACTTCACATTGAGACAAAGCCCTATAGGACACTTTGCTCCAATGGCTCAGAATTATATAACTATTCCTCTCTCATTAATATACCACATACATTCCTGTCTCCACTTAATACACTGCAATTTTTACCCACCACAACAATGTACACACAAAATACACGGGTCCATGTCCACAAAGGCAGTGTTGATACAGGATCCTTGTCATCAAATTTTTGGCTTGCCTGCTAAATTGCTAAAGTTTGTAATGTTCAATAGGACTCGTCATTAGTGGGATCTAAAAAGGTTCTACTGTATTATGTGTAGGAATAAATCAACACACGAGACAAGAGGTTCAGTGTTATCCAATCACTTTGCAGCACCTACGTTGTTTTAGAAATTCACATCTGGGATGATTCCAGAGATGACAGATTTTTTTTTTTTTTAAAGTCCCAGAAAGAAAGTTATCTACACTGATAACATAATTAGAGATTAATTAGTATAGGGAGGGTACATACTGTTTGTGACATGCTGTCAAGCACAGGATGCATTTGAAGCAAAATTTGTTATCTATTTTTGGTCCTCTTTCTCAATTTCTCTTTTCAAAGTAAAGCTATATGGAACTCTGCCCCCACCCCAACATTCAAGCATATCCCTGTTCCCAGGAAGCATGTTCCCAGCAGAAAATGTTAGTACACTGTTCATAGATCTCTATTTTCAATTTTCTGACTCCTCCTTCCTAGGAAATTGGATCACTTCTTCATGAGTCTCTTGCTTAGACATGCCAAAGATATTGACAATGGTAAATTCACAAAGAACAATGCATGAGGTATTTGATACTTTTGAAGCTTTTTATTTAAAGTAAAACTGTTTCATATTTAACCATTAAGACACTTCTGAAACATCTTATCCACAATACTTTTAAATCTAAGTTTTCCAGACTGAAATATTTTCTGTATATTTTAATCCTAATCAGCACCACTTTTGCTGTTCCATTTCTCTTGTAGCAGTCATTTGCTGTGCCAAACGGTGTGGTTACTCTGTAATATGGACACACATCTCCTTAGGACTAGGTTGAAACCACAAGGTTCAGACTTTCTTCAGTCGGATGGGCAGCACACATCATGCGTCACCAACTATGTTTCAATCCAGTGACAATGTTGGGATGCTTACAAGTAACCATTCTGCATGCTGTGAAGGTTAGCTACAGGTCACACGCTGAAGTTAATCTGCATGGCTATGATAGAAGCACAGTTCAAAAAAAATCTCACGCTACCATGAAAAAAATTGCACTGCATCTGTTTGTACAAGCAGCATAGAGGAATTTGTTATATAATGTTCCCCATGTGCAGTCAACATTATGATTATATGTTCATATACAACAGCACCTTCCAGTAGCTCCCAAAGCAATTTGCAAACTATGCTGACTGCATAAATCTTAAGTAGGAATCACTTTGCCCACCACTGAACTGTGGCCTCCTATAGGGTGGAACATATAACTGTTAACGAGTACACATGGACCCCACTTTCCCTTTAGGACAGGAAATGAAGAATAGATACCAGATTTAAAATCATAAGGGGAATTTTACTAGGCAGACTAGATTTAGCTATCCAAACACATTAGAACCTATTCAATTTCATTATTACCAATGGCACTATATATATTTAGATGTTTTGTCTTCAATGGGACCTGGGGCTGCTCAACACCTCTGAAAAAAATCAGACCATATATGTCTAGGTGTCTAAAAATTAAGAACCTAAAAAGCATACAAGTTTGAAAATCTCAGTTATCAATAACAAAATCTGCCAATACAAAAAGGGTATATGAATAATAGCATAGTAAACCCTATGTAAGTAATCAGAAATACAGTGTCAGACTGATAGCTTACGAATTTCTCATGTCGTATCATTCACACACATCAGTTAAAGAAGCAAACTAGTTTCATGAAAACTCCAACCTGAACATTGACATAAGTTTTAGATATACATTTACTATTGTAAGTATTGCAACAACTTGGTGAGTAAATAAATACTTAAGAAGTTTGGATCTTAAAGAACAAATTGGTGCAGTGAATTACACACAACGAAATATGGTGGCTCTAATGGTGACAGACTCCAGGACTTGAATGGGGCACTAGTGGCTTATGTTGTCATCAGATCCCCTCATTGGAATTATTTCATTGGAAATTCCCATTGTTTCCATATGATATATACAATAAACTATCATAATAGGGATTCCAAATAAAAGGCTACTCAAACTGAATTACAATTCAGTATCCATCTACTTATGATATGCACTTTGTAATGATACGTTCATTCCTTCCTTCCATTTATTGAGCAAATGTTCAGTATGCAAAATCTGACCTTTGCCACTCAGGTCTGATGAAGAAGTTGGTACCATTGTGGGAGAGAAAGATCATCAAGATATTCAGTCTGCAAAACATACTTCAATTTTCAGTTACCCATCAGATAACATACCATGGAACAATTGCAAAAGCACTATTGCAATTTGCGATAGTCAAACAAGGACACACCAATTAGATTTTGATACAGGGCAACATTTAAATTATTTAATGGAACTCATGACTATTGTAATAATGTATTGGGCTAAAAAGTAAAGTATCACTTCCACAATTTATTGCAGATTTAAAGTTTGTAATGATAAAAATATCTGGGGTGAAATCCCGGCTCTATTGAAGTAAATGACAAAACTCCTACTGACACATTTATTAAATTTATTTGTCTCCTTTGTGGGACATTACATTAAGTAGAGATCTTAAAATGCTGAAGTGCATACCCACACACACTTTAAATGTGTTTTTAATTAATCTAATGCTAAGTGCATTTTCAAATCCAGCTTTAGATGCTAATAGGCTATTTAATATTTTATTTTATTTGAGTTTTTCCATTTACATCCATTATGTAATTTGGTTTTTGTGCACTAGAATTTTTCCACCCTCTGTTATATTCATCTGGAAAATCTCATAGTAAAGTAGAAGGTCAAGAATTGTTGAGTTTGTGACATGAACCAAACCAAGATAACTTACATAGGGTCATGTGTCACCAACCAAAGTAACTTATCTAGTGTCAAGTAGAACCCCTAGCAAAATCCTTGTCAAAAATCTCAGAGCTCTCACAATTTACATCACTATGGTGACCAGACGTCCCGAATTTATCGGGACTGTCCCGATATTGGTCGGGACACAGGACAAAGAAGCAAATGTTTGGTGAGTAACATGTTTGGTCGGGACACTGGTCAAAAAAGAAATTTTGCCCTCCGCTCTGGTGCTCGTGCCCCCCCCCCCGCCCCGGCTCCGCCCCCTCCTTCCCCCATTGGCTCCCTCCCCAAATCCCCGCCCTGGCCCCGCCTCTTCCCCAACCACGCAGCATTCCTCCTCCCTCCCAGGCTTGCAGCATGGCGGCGCAAGCCTGGAGGGAGGGGGTGACGGCGGTGCCTGGATCCTGGAGCTGGTGAGTCAGCTCCGGCACCCGGTGGGCAAAGGGGGGCTGGCAAGGGAGGGAGATGGGGGGGCTCAGCTGTGAACCCCTCCGCCGCGCCAGAGGGCTTCTGCCCGGGCTGCTGCACCTGGGGCCGGGAGTGCAGTCTGGAGGCTGCTCCAGCCCTGCAGCCCGCGGGGCAGTGCGGTGGGTCTGGTCGGGGGCAGCGCGGAGCAGGCAGGGGCCAGGTGAGCGGTGCGGGGGCATGGGCCGAATCCCCGCTGCTGCCAGGGAGCCCCGCGCCTCTCCCTCCCGCTCGCGGCTGCGGCTCCTTCCCGGCGGGACGCGCCCCCCCGGCCTGCCCCGCGCACATGCGGCGCGTGTCCAGCTGCTCCTTCCCGGCGGGAGGGAGACTAGGCGCGGGGGACGCGTGCCACATGTGGCCAGGGCAGCGGGAGGCGCGTCCCGCCGGGAAGGCGCTAGAGCCGCGAGCGGGAGGAAGAGGCGCGGGGCTCCCTGGCAGCAGTGGGGATTCGTCCCCTGCCGCCCACCCGGCTCCTGCCTGCTCCGCGCTGCCCCCGCCCGGACCCACCGCGCCCCGCATATGCCCGTGGCGGGCCGGGGGGCGGGAGGCTCCGCTGGGAGGGCAGCGCGCGGGGCCAAGGCCTGCTAATGCCCCAGGCCCCTTTAAAACTTTTTTTTTTTTTCGCTCCCCCCCCCCCCTTTTTTTTTTTCCCCGCCCCCGTCCCGATATTTTATACTACTTATCTGGTCACTCTATATATCACCCAACTCTAACAGAAGATTTTAGCTGGAACCCTCTTCACATATTAAATAGCTAAAATATATTGCTTTAACACTTAGCTGGTTTGATTCTCTTAATGATGATTGGGATTTATAGGGCCATCTTGCTCAGTCATGCCATTTGCTTTCCTCACTGTGAAAGCTAGTTGGTTAGTCCTTAAACAAAGCATTGTCTCATTCCCTTTTTCATTTCATGTTTCTCACTCAAATTTCCCAAGGTTTTCTAAACTTCTCTCTCTAATTAAACAGTAATGTATATGTTTAAATTTGGTGCAGTTGCTATTAAGCAGTGAAAGAACTTTAATGCATTAACTCTATTTTAATATTTCTTTAAAGTGTTTCAGTTTTACAGTATAAAACTTGAGAGCTGGAAATGGTCACAAAGCCGGATCTGAAGAGTCTTTCAAGTTAATTCAAATAAATTAAATATTTTAATTGTCCCCCTCATGCTTAGTATTCATTATTTCTCTGGGGCAGTGGGGGGAGGAGAGGGGAACAGTTTGTAACCTTGTTCCGTATTTTGCCAAAGCAGGAGCCAATCCCTGATCAGTTTAACATAAGGCAAGTCGTATCGGATTCTCTAGGTTTGCTTTCAAGGTCTCCAGAAACACTGAAGCCAGTTTGTCATCCACCATCCGACTGTCACTTGACAGTGTCACTGTCATAAGCTGATGCTGCAGAAGTTTCTCGTTCCCTTCTTCATCTTCCACAATCTTCAGTTCGGGTCGAGCTCGTCCCACAGCTAGGATGCAGGCTTGAGGAGGGTTTATGACGGCAATGAAGCCACTGATGCCAAACATGCCCAGATTGGAAATGCTAAAGGAAGGGGGAAAAGTTTATGTACATATTTTACATGTTATAAGAAGCTATCACTGCATTGTCACACAACCAAGATACACCCAGCTGTGGAAAAGTCACTACTAAGGGAATTTGCAGGGGCAGCCTCATCTTCCTCCAGGCAGATAAGCGCTGCCCAGAAAATGAGTGGTATGGGCTGAACAGGAGGCGTAGTTCCAGGCATCTTTGAAAAGGCCCATTCAGCACATCACAACTGCAGCCTCTAACAATGGGAGTCTGATTTCAATGTATAGAGACCCTCACCCTGGAATAAACCCAATGGGATGGCAGCAGTCAAATCTCTGCCTGCTGTCTCCTATGAATGAATCCTATCTAAGGTAAGGTATTGCCTGATGCAGGGAAGTGCATAAAAGATATGATGCAAAACTATATCTAGTATTTGAATTCAGCTCCTGTACCATAGCTCAGTTCTAATGATTCACAAAATACCTACAGTCTAATATTTCACAAAAGTATGATAACGAAAAGAGAGCAAAGATGAAAGAGGCAGAGGGCAGGGAGGAGGGGGACTAGCTATTGTGCCTCAATGCCCATATATAGAATCTATAGGTCCTAAACCTTGTCTTCAGATGATGAGTACACACAACTGCTGAGGAGTGTGCAAGCTTTAAGCCACCTTTGCATTCACCTGATCCTGGGCCAGTTGTGTGCCAGATTGGCCCCCAGATATAACTGAGGGGTGCTTCAATTTACAAAGGTTACTGATAACACCAATGTACCAGTACAGCAGTTGGGTATCACTGGGACACAGGTAATCCCCAGCCCTACTCTGTTTCCCAAGGGCATGCCCCTATGTCACTCACTGGAGGTGGCATACAAGCCATTATGGTGACTCTATACCACCCCAGGATGGAGTTACCCCTTTATGACTAGCTACAGGAAGGATCTAGCCCAATACCTCCATTTATTTTTCAATTTATCATCCTTCTTTTGAAACCTGTGTGGGGGTGGTTTTTTTCTTCTCCCCTCGCTAAAGCCATTTCTGTTAATGAGGACATCCATCCCTGCACTGCTGGATTCCCATTAGCTTTTTCTGCCAAAATGCTTATGATCATCTAGGAGATATTTTCTTTTGACAACTGCTTCAGCCTGAAAACACCATGCAAAATAAATAGTTCTGTGCTCAAGGCTGGTGTAGTCCAATTACACTACCCATACTAACAAATCTCTCTCTGTAAAAGAGCTTAATTACTAGTGTATCCCAGGACATTTTTATAGTCACCAATTATCCATTGTAAATGCAAAGATTTGTGTTAATACCATAATTCTGCACAGTTAAAAAAATGTATCACACTTAATCACTTAAAAAAGTCATGAAGTTCAGGTTTCCACAGCAACGTTAGCCACACTCTGTTTAACAGTGTTCCGTTTCTCATAAATGTAATATATTAAGATACACGTTGAACCACAAAAAACTGAATCAGCATATGTCCAAAGAAGCCAATAGAAAATTTGTTAGAAACTTAACTTCTGTATTGCCTTGCATTTAAATATTAACATTTTATTTAGCACAAACTATTTCACTTCTCGTACATTAAAAAAAGGGGGGTGGGACTGCTAAATACATGTAAATTGTCCCATTTAAGTTTTGAAGTTTACATCTCAAAGATCAGAGTGGACTAAGGAGGGTTATTTCCCAGCTATGGAGCAGCTTTTGTTTGGCTGGAGACCTTTTTCTGCAAGGCTGGGTTAAATGAGGCGAGAGTGTCTTTACAATAGAAAGGTATTTTTATTTTTTTACATTATAAAGTAAATATTAGACTCTATGTTTTCCTAACTACTAAATATAATAAACAATCTCCTGCAGATGGAAATACATGCAAAATAAAAGCCAAAACCCTTTTTCTCCCTATTTTCGACTCTCAACAGACTTGGCTGTATCAAGTTGAACCTGTCTGAAAATTGTGAGAGTTCTTCTTTTGATATAGGAATCTCAGGCCTAGATTATCCTCTCTAATTTGCCAGTGTAAATTGCTGCATCTCTTTTCAAAATCACTTAATTTGCTTTCACAGATACATCGGTCGATTTTATAAGATGATGTGTTAATGCACATCTGAATATCTGAGAGACAGTCGTAGTTCTAAGCTCACATTGTATCTATTAAATTGGTAAAGAAAATTACCTAAAAGATCCTCCTTGGTATTCTTCAGGTAACAGTTTTCCATCTCTTGCTTTCTTTGCGAGAGCCTAAGAAAGTGAAGATAGAAAATAAAATCCCAGACCAAGTTATTTCATCACCTTGTATCTGAGTAAGACAGCACACACTGAGTATCGCACAACATTAGTAAAATTCCCTATATGCTTTTTGGTCTACCCAAATATTTGAGGCAGATAGTTTTGTCATTTAAATACGACATTGAAAACAATTAGTTGCTGCAGTTGTGTAAGATGTGAGGGGTGAGACATTTTGGATGAGGTGCGTGGGGAAGAAGACTAGGACTGGTAGCCAGAGAGATTGGATGAGGAGCTGGAAAGGGGTAACTGGCACTAGCTAACATTCAAAAAAAAGATTGAGACTCTGACAGAGAGCCTGGATGTGGAGACTAGGACTGGACAGACAAAGAGAATGAGACTTGGATGAGAATCCTGAGGAGAGATTGGGGCTGGATAGGCAAGGAGAGTAGAACTGGGATGAGGACCCAGGGATGTGGATAAGACAGGCCTGGAACAGGGGCAGATTGGAGAGGATAGAGCAGAAGGGATCAAGTGTAGGCAAAACAGGCAGAAGAGTCTGTACCCACTAGAGCACACCCTCCTCCAGAGCCTGGAATGGAACACACGATTCCGGAGTCTCACCATTCTTCTGCTGTAAGCAAATATCTGGGAAACCCACTGGCAAAGTGTCCCATCCCCCTGTAGGGCTGGTCCACCTACTACTTCTACCAGTTACTCTGTTAGTTCAGCAGCAGAGGTCTGTGTGAGAGATCGAAACCTGCTGATGAACCGTGTGTGTCAATATGAGCCCAGATAATTAAATGTGTTGGGTTTTTTTCTAGTTTGCTTTCTTAAAAACCTAGGGAAGTACACACAAAAAATACACTAAAAGAATATTAACATTGCACTGACAAGCACTCAAAAGTTAGAAAATGCCTTAATTTAGCCCCCTTCTGCATACACATTACTATACAGCAGGGGTCGGCAACGTTCGGCACGCGGCTCGCCAGGGTAAGCACCCTGGCGGGCCAGGCCAGTTTTATTTACCTGCTGACGTGGCAGGTTTAGCCGATCGCGGCCCCCACTGGCCGCGGTTTGCCATCCCGGGCCAATGGGGGCGGCGAGAAGCCGTGGCCAGCACATCGCTCGCCCGCGCCGCTTCTCGCCGCCCCCATTGGCCCGGGACGGCGAACCGCGGCCAGTGGGGGCCGCAATCGGCCAAACCTGCCGCATCAGCAGGTAAATAAAACTGGCCCGGCCCGCCAGGGTGCTTACTCTGGCGAGCCGCGTGCCGAACGTTGCCGACCCCTGCTATACAGTCTTTAATTACATGATCACATACTATGTTTTCCCCATAGCCCTATTTCATTCAGTATACTGGATGGTGAGGGCTCACTTGAATGAGCAGCTATTCAATATTTTGTTTTCTCCTCATTATTCAGCGTGTTGCCCATGGCCTTATTTGCTGCACACTATCCATACCCTGCTCTAAAGGCAGAATTATTAGTTTTCAAATGGGCTTGTCTATGGCGTTCATCACAATAGTATCTGAGCGCTTTGCAAACATTAATCCATCCTCAACACCCCTGGGAGATGAGGAGGGGGATATTATCCGCTTTTTATAGATGGGGAGCTGAGTCATAGCGGGATTAAGTCAGAAAAATGTTGGCTCTGTGGTTCAGCAGCTGCTAACTTAACCCATATGTTTTGGGAATGCTCCTATGTCCATATGTTTTGGGCAGAACTTAATTGCAGAATTAATTAGTTCCTATCAAAACTGTGTTGCAAACTAAACAAGTAATTTTAAACCTAATGGATGTTCATTGGAAGCTAAATAAGTCTGAAAAACTTTGCCTTAGCAGAGTACTAATAATTATTAAAAGACTAGCGCTACAAAAAGTGAAAAGCCAAACAGCGACCAACAACTGAAGACTGGAGCGTACACATTGTAAGCTTGGTCACCATGGGAAGAATTGAATATGGTAACAGAAATACCCAGGAAAAAACTTTCAGCGATGTGAGATGCTGTCCTGGAAGTATCTGAATGATCCTATTCAATGCATGCTCCCAACACCTCTTCTCTACCAACTTCCTTCCCTCCCTACCTCTATCACCCTCTTCTAAGTATTGCTTTTATTCTTTATCTTAATTGTTTTAATAAGTTGTATCTTTATATACATTAATTTGCTTTGTCACCTTCAGAAAGGAAAAATGTATACAGACTGCAGTGCCTTCATCCATATTCTCAAAATCCTAGCGCAGGTCTGAGCCTATCGCCCTCTGATTGTAATTTTGGAAACAGTTGCTTTTTTCTGAAAAATCAGAGAGAGATGGGCTCAGACCTGCACTAAGATCTCAAGAATATAAGTGGAGGGAATCCAGTCTGTATACTTTTTCCTTGCTGTAGGCAACAAAACAAATGATGGGTTTCCCACGGTTTCATCAGAAGTAATATTTAGGTTTAGTTAAATTGATGGGGAAAAAAAACATTCAAACTACATTGCTCCCTTTATAAAAGTGTTCTGATAACAATATATGTGGGATTTATTTGTAAGAAAAAGGTCCAGACATTTACTTTAACTGCAAAAGTCATGAGAAATAAGCTGAAAGGCTTTTCTGGTTAAAAAACATAAAATGTAAATAAAGTCACTTGAAGACCATCCTAGGTAAGGCAGGATGATCTAATGTTTAGGGCAGAGGCCTGAGTTCTCTTCCTCTCTGCTGAGAGGCCTTGGGCAAGGCACTTCACCTCCCTTTCCTTAAATGATCCATAACACCTTCAAATCACTCCTCAGGACACCAGGTTTCTATAAAAGTCCTCAGAGAACAAATCCACCAATAAGTGATAATGATACAAAGCTTTTTGTGTCGGAGTGGAGTTTTGTGGAGGATTAGCTTCTGAATTTTAACTTAATTATCTCCATTTTGTGAAAAGGTGTCCAAGGTAACGGACTTTGTATGTTACAAACTGTAATAAACAAAAAAAGGACAGATTGAAGGGAAATAAGGAATAGCTGATATTCCATATTTTATATAAATATGTATATAAATAAATAATGGTGTATATTTTGATTGTATCCTTTTCCCTAAATCTTTATATGTCAGATCACCACTCTCTGAGTGCAAGAATTGAATCTTTGTGTGTCTGTTGACAATGCCTAGCATATTGTGGATGCTTGTGGCATATGAGTAATGAAGAGTAATAATGCTCCTTAGTGCTAAAATGGGAATGATAACACCCATTTTTATAAAGGTCTTAGCTATTTATGTGGGAAAGTGCTATATATAAAGTTCACTATGCACAGAACAGGTACAGGGGCTGTTCAAATTTCCTCATGCTCTGCTGCCATTGTACCATAACTCTGACCTTGACGTTGTTGAATTAGCTAGCCACAGAGGTAAGAGGGTGATTCAGTCTCTATGACCATCCAATCTTCAGTCTTTCTAGTGGGACTATAAGGAGATATGCGGGAGATTTTCAATGGCACAAATGGGAATTAGGCACCTAACTGCCATAGTAACTAACTGCCCTTATGCCTTTGAAAATCTCTTCCATAAAGAAGAAAACTTGCCAAACAAGTGTGATTCGTTTTTTTTGGATAGATTTGTGGATGAGGGGAGTATATGGATGTAATCTATGTGGATTTTTGTACAGAATTTTGCACTGAATTTTAAAATTGCTCGGACAAAATCTTTGCCGAGTGGACTGAATACTGGCCATGAGCAATGGGCAATTATAACCAGCAACGTATAGAGTTGGGGGAGGTTTCTAAGGGGGCATTTCTGGATCAGTTTATGGACTGGTTTTATTTAACGAAATTCATACAGGGTACTAAATTGGACGTAGTGGCAAACAACAGTGATGACAGAGAAATAATGCAAAAGGAACTTGAAATATCAGAAATGTGAGTAGAAAACAACACGATATTTGATTTAGGATAAAGCAAACTAATACATGTGCAGAAAAACAATGTCAAATGCAGTTGCTCAATGGGAGGAAGAAATCGTGGCAGCAGCACTACTGAAAGACTTCAGGGTAAGAGTGACCAACAGATCTAAAATGAGATTGCAATGAGAAACGGCTGCAAAAAGGCCAAATATAATTCCAAGCTACATGGATGAAGGCATCAAATCATGGAGCTGGCAGATAATAGTCCCACTCCAGGAGAGGTTGGTATGACCACTCCAGGAATACCAAGTTCAGTTCATCATAAAGATAAGACAAATTAGAGGGAAGTTTGAGGAAAAGTAACAAAATGCTGAGAGGGCTGGAAGGATTCATTTCTGAGGGAAGATTAAAAGAGCTAAATATGTCTACAATTGGCTTGTGATAACTGGGGAGGATGAGGAACAGAAACTTAACAGTCTATAAAAATTTGGTATGTGTAAACACTAAAGATGGGGAAGAATTATTTATTATAGTACACAGGGATATCAGAATAAGGGATAATGATATTACATTTAGAAAAGGAAAATATAGCCTATATATCAGGAAAAACTTCCTGATAGCAAGATCTATTTGCCTGTGAAATAGTCTCTAAGGAAGTGGTGCAAGCCCCATGGCTTGGAATTTGGAATTATACTGGACAACGCACTAAGACAAACTGTAGGAAATAATATTACATTAGCCATATAGAGATGGACTGGTTGGTCTAACATGTTTAATTGGTCAAACAGTCTCTAAATTCTAAAAATTCTTATAAATCTGGCCAATTAGGGCCAGATATGGTGATTTCTTTTTGGTGATGGAGTCACCTGCCCACTAGAAAATGAATCCAACTCATTAATTTGCAGTGTTGTAGCCATGTTGGTCCCAGGATATTAGACAGACAAGGTGGGTGAGGTAACCTTTTATTGGTCCAACTTGTGGCTAAAAGAGAGAAGCTTTCAAGCTACACAGAACTCTTCTTCTCTTCCTAGACCTGAAGAAGAGCTCTGAGTAGCTCAAAAGTTTGTCTCTTTCACCAACAGAAGTTGGACCAATAAAAGATGTTACTTCACTCACCATGTCTCTCTGAGAATCATCAACTCAT